ATCTTGCATTTTGTAACAACATGGATGGAATTCGAGGGCATTATGCTAACTAAGTCAGGCAGAGAAAGATACTCCATGATCTCACTTATATGTGGAATCTAAATTTAACAAAGCAAAACAAGCTGATAGACACTGAGAACAGATTGGTGGTATCTGAAGATGGTGACAGGGAGAGTGAGGAAAGGGGGAGAGAGCAAAATGGGGTCAAAAGGTACAAAATTCCACTTCTAAAATAAATAAGGCATGGGGATGTGATGTACAGTATGGCAACTATAGTTAATAATACTGTACTACATATTCAAAAGTGATCATTTTGCAATACACACAAATATCGAAGCATTATGTTGTATATCTGAAACTATTATATGTCAGTTATACCTCAATTTTTAAAAATTAACAGCTTGAGGGGTGCCTGGGTGGCTTAGTCATTAAGCATCTGCCTTTGGCTCAGGTCATGGTCCTGGGGTGCTGGGATCGAGCCCCACATGGGGCTCCCTGCTCAGCAAGAAGTCTGCTTCTTCCTCTTCCTCTGTCTGCTTGTGTTCTGGCTCCTACTGTCACTCTCTGTATCAAATAAATAAAATCTTTTTAAAAATTAACAGCTTGAAATATCACAAATTTGTTATCCCACAGTTTCTATGTGTTAGGAGTCCAGCATGTTTTAACTGGGACTTCTGGTCACTATTTTAAAGGCTGAAATCAGGGACGCCTGGGTGGCTCAGTTGGTTAGGCCGCTGCCTTCGGCTCGGGTCATGATCCCAGGGTCCTGGGATCCAGTCCCACAGCCGGCTCCTTGCTCAGCGGGGAGCCTGCTTCTCTCTCTGCCTCTGCCTGCCGCTCTGCCTGCTTGTGTTCTCCCTCTCTCTCTCTCTGACAAATAAATAAATAAAATCTTAAAAAAAAAATCTGTAAAGGCTGAAATCAGGTTGTGGGCCCACTGTTTACTCATCTGGAAGCTGAACTAGAGACATATCTGTATCAAGTCTCCCTCAAGAACTTTATTAATATTCCCCCCCCCCAATCCACAGTGTCGCTCTGTCATTAATTAGATTTTTCTATATATGGACTATTATTTTGTTCCTTTTTTTCTATTTTTATCCGGTGCCATTGCCAGTGTTTTTTTTGTTTGTTTGTTTGTTTTTTTAAGATTTTATTTATTTGTCAGAGAGAGAGAGAGAGCACATGCAGGGAGATCAGCAGGCAGAGGAAGAAGCAGGCTCTTCACTGAGCAAGGAGCCCAATGCAGCACTCGATCCCAGGACCCTGGGATCTTGACCTGAGCCGAAGGCAGACACTTAACCACCAGGTGTCCTGCCACAATGTTTACTACACTTCAAATTGAAAAAAAATATTCATGATATCTAAAGAAGTCTTCTCCCTTGTTTTTCTTCATTTTTTAAAAGATTGTATTTATTTTAGAGAGAGAGAGAGAAAAAGTGTGCAAGGGAGAGGGGAGGGGCAGAGGAAGGAGGAGAGACTCTCAAGCCGACTCTATCATGCTGAGCACAGAGCCTGTCCCAGGGCTTGATATCATGACCCTGAGATCATGATCTGAGCTGAAACCAAGGGTTGGATGATTAACGGACTAAGCCACCCAGGTGCCAGTTTTTCTTCTTTTAGAGTGCGTCAGCTAGTTTTGGTCTTTTGCTATTCTATTAGCATTAGTATGTAGAGGTTCATTTTAAACAATTGGGACTATTATTTGGAATTCTATTGAATCTGTCTATCAATTTGGAAATGTATTAGTTTTCAAGGGTTACCATAACAAAATACCATAGACTGGGTGGCTAAAACAACAGAAATTTATCTTTTTCATTGTTCTGGAGGATAGAAGTCCAAGATCAAGGTGTTACAGGTTTGGTTTCTTCTGGGCCTCTCTCCTTGGCTTGCAGATGGCTGCCTGCTCCTATGTGGTCATCCATTGATCTGTGTTGTCTGTATACTCATCTAATAAAGTCACCTGTTACATTGGAATAGAGCTCACCCATATCTCATTTTATCTTCATTACCCCTTTCAAGGCCCTACCTCCAAATCTCCAAATATAGTCACGTTCTGTTGTTAGACTTGAAGGTATGAATTTGAGAGAGAGGCATAATTTAGTTTGTAATAGGGGAGCACTGACATTTTCCCAATATTGAATCTTCCAATTCATAAACACAATGTATCCATCTATTTATTTTTATATTCTTTAATGCTTTTCAGTAAAATTTATCTTTCCCCATAGAGGTCTTAAAAATTTTGTTGAATATTCTCAATTTACTTCATCAGATCCTCACTCCTTCATTTTGCACTATGTTTCATGTCTTAGAGTGTTGACATTTATGGACTCCATCAAAAGGTTTCCTTGTCTCCTGACTTCTGAATAGGTTTAGCTAGTTAGAAGCATGGACAGGAGATCTGAGTATTTATTCCCTCACTGCTTGTCTACTACTGAACTCACCATGGTCGGATGCAGCTGTGTTCCTCTCCTGAGTCTTGCAGTTCTAGCCTTCTCTTGCAGTAATAGTTCTGGGAATTCAGGTTCAGATAACAGCTCCCTATCAATTAATTGCCCACTCAAATTTATGGTTAGACCCCCATCTTCTCCCTGGGTTTCACCATTCCTTGTTGGTTACCTTTTTTTCCCTTCTTTTTTTGAGAGTGAGAGAGAATGAACACATAAGGGATAAAGGAGGGGAGGGAGAGAGGGAACCTTAAGTAAGCTCCATAATCAGTGTGGAGCTCCACACTGGGCTTGTTCTCAAGACACTGAAGTCATGACATGAGCCGAAATCAAGAGTCAGAGGCTTAAGTGACTCAGCCACCAGGTGTTCCCTGATTGGTTACTTTTGATCCTGACTATATCTTAGTAAACTGATCCATTCATTAACCTCTCCTCAATTTCTACATTTCAGTGTGCCAGATTTCTTTTTTTGCTGGGAAACATACTTGGTCAGATTTAATTTCAAGTACTTTTTATGTCCTGATGCTATTTTATACGGCACATTTTAAAATTACATTTTGTTTGTTGCTAGTTATAGAAATGCAATCAGTTTTGCAATACTTTTTTTTTAAATCCAGCAACTTTGCTAAACTTTCATTACTTCCAATAATATATGTTAGATCTTTAAAACATTTTTCTTTATATATAATTTCCATAAATAATCTTTAAATCATTATAGATTTATAACTTCCTTTGCAACACTTATGCCTTCTTGGGTTTTCTAAACATCTAATAAAAAGAATACTATGTTGGAATGATATTACACTAATTGCATTAATCTGTCCTCTAATATTAAACTCCCCTTGAAGTCCACACCATTGATCAGGATACATAATACTCTCAAAAATCAGAATCCAAACGAGGAGGAAGTACACTTTTTCAAAACCAGTTTTTCCCTCTATTTTCTTTTTTTAAAATTGAAGTATCATTGACATACAATGTTATATTAGCTTCAGGTGTACAACATAGTGATATGACAATTCAGTGAATTATGCAATGCTCACCACCATAAGGATAGTTACCATCTGTCACTATATAAAGTCATATACATTCTTTAGAGATAAGGTAGTGTATCAGTTAAATGCTTACCTAGACACAATGAACAGCAAATGGATATATATGAGTATTTTACTGATTAGCTGTTTTAACTTGTCTTATTTGATTCAGTAATGCAGTTATCCTATCAGTAAACAAACATTTGTTGAGCTTCCACTAAATGCCATTCACTCTTCAGAACTAGAGTACAAAGATGCCAAAACCATAACCATTGCCATTAAGAAGCTCATAATTTTGTGAGTGAATGGAGTCTCCGTGTGTTTTAGGATTACAGGGTGAGGTTGGCCCAGAGGAAGAAGAACCAAAGATAATGGACAACGCATATGGCAAGTCTATACAGATGAACAAAATGCTAAGAAAAAAGAATGTGGAAGTACTTCAAGTCCCCACTCAAGACTTGCATTTTGAAATATGATACATTTATTACAAAAAAGATGAGGGAGAAGGAAACATTCAGTCATTTGTGCTGATTTATTAGATGTGCTAAAATATTACAGTCTTGGGGCTAAAGTAGTGAAAGAATCACAAAAATCTCTGTCTCTGGATTACATTCTAACATCAAAGGAAAGAAACAACTTGCCCCAGAAAGGACGTTTCCTGCTTACAAAGGTTTTGTATGAAGAGACAACCGAGAGGTCCCCTTGTTACACAGAGCAGCAATACCCATACTCTATGTGGGCTGGCTGCAGGAAGATAATACCAAAGTTTCTATTTATACTTAGTTTTTAGATTCTTCTACTGTGTTTTTGCCTAATTATAAAGTACGCGTGTTTACCATACACATTATTATCTCCATAATAGAATGCAGACTCAATTTTATTGATGGGAGTATTTTATCAAGAAAGTTTGGGGACCACTGTTCTAGAGTCCTTCCAAGTCCTTAAGAGGGAAAGTGATTTAAATTTAACTGTATTTAAAGTCACAGAACACGTCTAAGACGCGAGCAGTACAGGAATTTTTATACAGAGTGCCTGGAGAAATTGTTTTCTTACGGGCCTTAACTTGTAGACAACCCGAGGGGTTGCCTTTGTAGTTGTTAATAAAAACTGGAAAAAAAAAAAAAAAACCAAAATTCTCAAACGATGTCTGCTGGTTTGGGCCGCCCTGGGCACAGCTCTGCTTGTTCTGTCTAGACGTTCAGATAACAAGCACAGTCCAGCTAGTTGGATTGCTGGGCACCTAATCCACACGGGCCGCGAGGTCCAGGGTCTGAGACGCGCAGTCACTCTCGCACTCACCAAACTCCGCCCGAAGACAGAAAGACCGTTTGTGGCTTGTCAGAGCTGGGCACGGGGGCGCCCACCCGAGAGTCTAGAATTCCTCCAGGCAGACGTAACCGGCGTGGGGCTAGCGTCACGTGCCCAACGTGTGCCGATTTCGCGCCTGCGCGCTGCTGTACTAATGCGCTCTGCGACCGGGCAAACTTGCCTCCTCGCTAGATCGTCACTTCCGACGGACGCTTGGCGTCATTGGGATCGTCATTTCCTGCCAGTACCGGTGTGGACGGTGCGGGTCGTGGCCGCCGCTTCTCCGGTTCTCCCCCTCCCCTACTTTCCTCCCTCCTTCCCTCTCCCTCCCTTGGCGGCTGTCGGTCGCCCGTCGCAGACTCCCTGACCCATCCCCAACCCTTTCCTGACCTCGGTCCTACCCGATTGGTCTCTTTTTCCTGTTTTTTTTTCGGCCCAGTCCCAGTCGCCAGTGTCAGGGCGGGGGCCTTGAGCCAGAGGCTGCGGCGGAGGAAAGAAAAGACGAGACGACCCTCGGCTCCGCAGCGGGATCGCTCGGTTCGTCGCCGCCATGGCAATGAGGCAGACGCCGCTCACCTGCTCGGGCCACACGCGGCCTGTGGTTGATTTGGCCTTCAGTGGCATCACGCCTTATGGCTATTTTTTAATCAGCGCTTGCAAAGGTGAGCTGGGCCCCTGGATCCGGGTCCCTGAAAGGCTAGGACTGGGCCGGAAGGTAGAGTGGCGGGTATTCCCCGTGCGGAAGCGGGACCTCAGTCTTTGAGATCCGGGCCAACAGGGGTCCGATGGGGGAAAACGGTGTATTAGGGAATTCTGCAGCTGGAGCCAAGGGAGGCTATTCCGATTGTCTGACGAGGCTAAGTACTGCCCCCAACTTAAGCCTCTCATTTTACTTTTGTTGCGGTGTCTGGAGAAGCGGGACTGTACCCTTGCCTAGACGCCCCAGCCATCATATACTGTAAATAATCTTTCAAGGATGTGGGGAATGGCGAAAATAGGCCAGGCGGAGTAGTATCTTACCTTATTTTACAGACTTGTTATTGCCTTTATTTTACTGGACATTCTTTTGTGGTATTAACCCCATTTTTTTCAGTTGGAAACCGAGGTTCAGGTTAAGAAGTTTGTCCAAAATAAGACTCAAATCTAGGTTATTTTGATGCAGATCAGTATTCTTCCCACCGAATTACAAATGCTTCAATGAGAATTTCTGGCTCAGCTCTTCAGTTAATTTATTTCTGGACGTTTTTTAGTGACCCCAGTGGATGAGAACAGTTACACAACAAAAGCATTTTAACACTTTGTTATTTAACACGATCACTTTATGTTTGAGTCTTAGATTTTAAGTGATTCGAACTTCTAAATCACACGTCTTTTTAAATGTGTTTTAGACGGGAAACCTATGCTCCGCCAGGGAGATACAGGAGACTGGATTGGAACATTTTTGGGTCATAAGGGTGCCGTTTGGGGCGCAACATTGAATAAGGATGCCACTAAAGCAGCTACAGCAGCTGCAGATTTCACTGCGTAAGTATAGCAAATCAGCCAGTTTGGAAGATCTCCACGGGTTGTGTTGTGAAGTCCTCAGATCTTCAGCCTCAGTTATTCATAAAATTCTGCCCCAATGCCTACCATGTAGAGTGCATGATGTTTGACCTCACTAAAATTCTACTCTGGTCCTTCTTGCTTTTGTTCCTCTTCCGTGGTTCTCATCAATTTTCAGAGACTTTAAATGACTTAATCTGTATGTCTGGATTGGGACCGAGGAATCTGCCTTATTGACAAGCACTCTACATAATGAATCTTGGAGGTCATGCTTGAAAATGCTCAACCTGTGCTTCCTGAGTGGTATCACACTCTTCTGTGATGCCCTAGTGCTGATGGCCTAGATTTTAGCCTTCTCTCACTCCGGTTTTGTTAACTGGCTTTACCCATATTTAAAACTCCTAAACTCGGGGCGCCTGGGTGGCTCAGTGGATTAAGCCGCTGCCTTCGGTTCAGGTCATGATCTCAGAGTCCTGGGATCGAGCCCCCATTGGGCTCTCTGCCCAGCAGGGAGTCTGCTTCCTCCTCTCTCTCTCTGCCTGCCTCTCTGCCTACTTGTGATCTCTCTCTCTGTCAAATAAATAAATAAAATCTTAAAAAAAAAAACAAAAAACAAACAAAAAAAACTCCTAAACTCAATTACTCTTTATTTTCTAAGTTTTTTAAGGTTGAAATTTAAATATTCTTTATTTTTTTCTCTCATGTCTACGTTGATTCTACCAGCAGAGTGGCTCCTATGATCTTTTTTATGTCTCTACCACTAGTACCTTTCCTGTCTTTTCATCTTCAGTAGTCTTCCTAAAAACAAATTTCATGTCACTTCTCTAATGATTTTCCTGGCCTCCCTCTGCAGTTTCAGTGGTTCATGACCTTGAGTGAACCCAAATATAACCTGAGAAGCTTTAAAATACTCAGATGCATGTGTCTGACAAATTCTGATTTCATTGGCCTGGGGATGGAATCGCCAACATAATTTTTTCTTTCCTAAAGTTCTTTTAGTGGGTTCTGATGTTAAGCCTTAGAATCACTGGCCTAGGGGGTGCCTGGTTGGCTCGGTTGGTTAAGCAGCTTCCTTTGGCTTGGATCATGATCCCAGGGTCCTGGGATCAAGACCCACATTAGGCTCCCTGCTCAGTGGGGAGCCTGCTTCTCCCTCTCCCTCTGCCTGCCACTCTGCCTGCTTGTGTGGGCGTGCTTGCGCACGCTCGCTCTCTGTCAAATAAATGAAACCTTAAAAAAAAAAAAAAAAAAAAGGAGAATCACTAGCCAAAAGGTTAAATTTCAGTTATTGGCCAGTTTAAAATTTGGCCTCATCCTAGTTTATCATTATCATCTGAATCTGCATACCAAATGCTCTACAGTCTAGTTATACTAAACGTACTGTTGCCAGAATACACCTTAACTATTTTGGTTTTTGGCTTTTGCATATGTTAGAGTGACTTGCAGTGACCCACTTTCCCCTTCAGGGCACTTTCATATTTTACATAATCTTGGTATTCTAGTTCCTAATTCTGTTTATGGCTTAGTAGACCCTTAAATGTTTAAACTGATGAAGGTAATGTCAAGAGCTGTTGTATATGAGAGTAAACCTTGTTAGACTTGAGTCTGGAAAGTAAATGTAGTCTGTTTTTCTTCTTTTTCTTTCACAGAATTCCAGACTAGGAGCAATTGTAAATGTGTTGCTTCTTTGTTTTAAGCAAATCAAATATACGAAGTTTATTAAAAAAAATGAAGGCAGATTGATTGTGGTGATGGATATGTGGCTCTATGCATTTGTTGAAACATGTAGATTTCTGTAGCACAAAATGAATTTTACTGTATATAAAATTTAAAAATAAGTTACAATTTTTTAAATAAGGAGAGGGAGATGTAGTGCTTACCTGGGATTAAATTTGAGATGATAAGAGATCTGTAAGAAAAGTTTTAAGTGTGAGCAGCCTGAACTTTTTTCTGTGTCTTCAGTGAATAGATTTCTTAGTATGTTTTTATGCATAGTCATTGTAAGGCTTTGTCCTGTGCCTTGTTGTGATTGTATGTAATACTGATGAAATAAGGAGCTGCTTGAATTTATATAAATCCTTTAATATCAGTAGCTTCAGGTCAAATATTGCTTTAGATGTCAGCATGCTACTTGTAATGTGGCATTCTCCTTTGTTAATTTGGCAAAAGTGATTCTCGGGTGGAAGGCATATGGTGAAAAGGTTCATTCCTTGTGCTCACACTTGTGTTCAAACTTCTAGCACTTTTTAAAAAAAATTTTTTTTTTAAAGATTTTATTTATTTATTTGACAGAGAGAGATCACAAGTAAGCAGACAGGCAGGCAGAGAGAGAGGGGGAAGCAGGCGCCCCGCTGAATGGAGAGCCCGATGCGGGGCTCGATCCCAGGACCCTGGGACCATGACCTGAGCCGAAGGTCATGGCTTAACCCACTGAGCCACCCAGGTGCCCCTCTAGCACTTTTATAATACTTAATTTATGTGTTCTTGCTTTTTGAGGTCAGGTTCTATTTTTTATATTCTCTGGCTTATTTAATACCTTATGTTTGTTGAGTAAATAACTAGAGGAAGTTTTCTAAACTACAGGGCAAAGAATGGGTGAATGATAGATCTTTTTTTTTTTAATTTTTTTTTTTTAATATTTTTATTTATTTATTTGTTTGACATAGAGAGAGAGATCACAAGCAGGCAGAGAGGCAGGCAGATGGAGAGAGGGAAGCAGGTTCCCCGCTGAGCAGAGAGCCCGATGCGGGGCTCGATCCCAGAACCCTGAGATCATGACCTGAGCCGAAAGCACTGGCTTAACCCACTGAGCCACCTAGGCGCCCCTGAATGATAGATCTTAATTTTGCTTCTGGAACACTTGGCATCTGATACCCATGAGTTTAGCTTTTTTTCCCCCTTCATCTCCTCCAAAGTTTATTTTTTGCTCATTCTAGTAGGAACATTATCATTGGGAATGAATGTCATTGTTCTATAACAAAGGTAGAAATCTGGATTTTCAACTCTAGATTTCACAGGTTTGGTAGGTTGATTTTATTTATTTACTTATTTATTTATTTGGTAGGTAGGTTTTAAAAATACATTGATCATTATTGAAACTAGGTCCCAGTCTGCTGTGATAAGTTAGTAGTTAATAAAGTGGTATTTAAAATTAAATATAATTAGGTTTTAAATGTAACAAGATGTTAGATGCTATAAACAGCATTAAAAAAAAGACAAGCTTTTGAATTGCAATTCTGAAAGGATACATTTTGTTAACTTTATTTCTGGGCCCCTGTTAATTACTTGAGCAGAATGCTCTGTCACCTCCTGCCTCATGGTCTTGCCCTGATTTTTAAGAGACTTGTGCAAAAGCTTGTTGGGAAAGATGCCTGTGTCTGTAAAATCTGCGAAGACTTTTGGTTTGTATGTTTGATCAAGTGATAATACAGTCCTTGGGAAGATAAAGAAGTAGACAAAAATTACTGCATATGATAACGGCCTTTGAAATGGAGAGTAAAAAAGTCGTGGAAAAATATGGCACTTTAAATACTTAATATATTGAGTCTTGGAAAGAGTAGTCAGCATTGTATCTTACTGCCAGAGGAACAGTTATCTTTATTTAGGTCACTTACAGAACATTAATAACCCAAGTCCCACATTCCAGGACATGACTCTGGGTAGGTATTCAGTGTTGTTTTAACATTTCTAGTCTCAGTGTCTATGTTTATAAGTAGCCCTGTGTGAGCGTGAGCCCTGTATCCTGATTCTGTACTCGAATCCTATGACCTTGGGAATTCATTTAACCTCTTAGTGTCATCATCTGTAAAAATAAGAATATAAATAGTACTTATCAAAAAGAAAGAAATAGTACTTTAATGTCAGTTGTGAATATTAAATGAATTAAAATATTTCTAATATTTAGAACATTACCTAAAATCTAATGAGTATGTAAGTGTTATGTATGTAAGATAAGGATGATAGCTATCATTCCCACTAGACCAAATTCGTATTTGTTATTTTGGAACTTATGTGGCTAAGGCCATGAAACGTTCTGGTTTTGTGCAAGGAAGTAGATTTTAAATATTAGGAGGAAATGCTTTTGGTCCCTCCCTCCCCGCACCCCCCCATTTCCTGCTTTATCACGGTGAAAAGATGTAAGCATTCACTTTGGTTAGGCCTGAGTTGATGTGCTAGCTATGCTTTGTGTTTCTAGTTTGGTCATGGGTTGCTTCTTAAAACTTCGGCTTTGGTATCTTAAAATGGGTATAAGACCACATGGTTATTGAGAGGATTTGAGAGATCTTTTTCCACTACATCCTTGGAGTCTAGCATAGCATCTTTGCATAGTAGCTGCTCAGTAAATAGTAGTAGAGTCTTCTCACTTGTTCAGTGTCTCTCTTTTAGGAGTGGGAGTGTTATGTATATTCTCTTATAACGATTTGTATAGAGCTTGCTGTTACGGACCTTGAACCAGCTAAAGAATAGCGTCCTCAACTTAACCTGATTACTTGTAGTTGGTATAAATAATTTTTAGGAAGTTCTTCCCCCTCCCCCATTCTTATGTTTCCCGGAAAATTCATGAATGTTATGTTTATGTAGAAGTGAATTTTGCTCTTATGGAGCAAATATATTCAGAGCTGGTCTGTGGGTCAGTTGGGAATGCTATCTTGAGGTAAATTCAGGCAGTTGAGTCAGGTGATGAGTAATACACTATTGTATGAAACTCCCTGCTCTTACTATCTTTAAATTCATGAAGCTAATATAAGCTTTATTTCCCATGATCCTCTTCTTAGTATCTCCACTTTCATCTCATTAAAATCATCTAGAGGGAGTGCCAAAAGTAGAGATTATTGTGCTCTGTTCCAGAGGATAATTAAATAGATCTGGAGTTGGGCCCTGAAATCTATAGGTAACCAAAGTGTATGATCACTTTTCTTTCTTTTAAAAGACAATAGAGAGATCCATTTTTCTCTGAATAAGATTGTCGATAAATTGAAGGTGGTGTTTTTGATGACTTAATCAACATGTTACAATAGCTAGGCAATGTTTTTCACCCAGAAAAGCTTAATTTTTTGTTAATCCTTTAAAAAAGTTAAGCAGCTCCTCTTTTGAGACTTGAGATAAGTCTGTTCTCAGGATATGAAAAGTATTGAACAGATAGCATTAATCATGACATGCATGAAACCGGATATAAGATGGGTCAGTAGTTTAGGGAGGTGACAAGTACTTCATGAGTTGTGCAGAAGATAAATGCTGCGGGGTTACCTGAGGAAAGGATACTGTTAATGATGCCTCACTGTCCTGATTTGAGCCCTGCAGACAGTTAGGTAATAGCAATGTCATGCCCGAAGATTGAAAACATTTAGGTTATTCCAGAATATTTTTGGGGCTGTAAGCTCTTTCTAGGATTCTTAAGTGTTTAAGTGTGAATAATGTATGTCAAAGTTAGTACAAGTGATTGGAGCATGCTGTGTCAGAGAGTGTTATCTTCAGTTTTAGTAGTGCTTCTAAATAGGAGGGAAAAGGCTATAGATCTGTTGGGCCCTCCTGGATGATACTACTTTGATCATGTGCTCCCCCACCCCTCTTTATTATTCCCTTTATTTTAAAAAATAAATGCCAATTATATTAAAATGAAAATCTTCATGGAGTATAGTTTGTTTACTCTTAACAGTTCTTTTCCCAGTAAGTGAAGTTTTCTTGTTTATTTTTCAGTGACCTCTTCTGTTATAAAATGAACATTTTTTTTCTTCTTTAGTCTTTTTTATTGGGAGAACCCCTTACAGTATTTTTCTAATGTATTATTTAATCATTATCCCCTGATGTAATGCATACATATGTATGTGTATACACACACATAGATTTTGGGTTGAGGGTGTCAGAAAAACAGTTGAAAGGTTAAAAATCCTGTGTTAGCATTATATAATCAAAAGCTGATATTTGGGGGGTAAGTTAATTGGATTAGAATTTGAGAATTTTAAGAGTCAACTTTGAGGAAGAGATGGGGAGAATATTTATTTCTTCACTGCCTTGACTTAAAATTTTATGTAACCTGTATTAGGGCCTTTCATTCTCCTATAAATTTTTTTTAGGATTTTTTTGTTTTTCATTCTTTTTTCTTTTGTTTTGCATGTACATGAGAATAGAGAATAGAGAAACAAATTGGAAAGATGAAATTTAAAATTGATTAAAATGTTTTACAGTCTTGGGGTGCCTGGGTGTCTCAGTCGGTTAAGCCTCTGCCCTCGGCTCAGGTCATGATCCCAGGGTCCTGGGATCAGTTCCTCATTGGTCTCTCTGCTCAGCAGGGAGCCTGCTTCCCCCCTCTCTCTCTTCCTGCCCCTGTGTCTACTTGTGATCTCTCTCTCTGCCAAATAAACAAATAAAAATCTTAAAAAAAAATGCTTTACAGTCTTGCTAAAAGGATATTATGGCTGTAGGCTTAAAAGTAAGGGTGGGCTGGTTCATGGTTCTCATTTACTTAAATTTGTACGTCTTTTCCATTGTCAAAATAAGATTTGTTATATGGCTTCTACAGGTAAATTTCCTTTAGAATCATTGAAATATTTAGTCAAATGTATCTTAACAATGAGGGATGTTAGAGATAATGAGAGACTTAGTCATTTGTATAACTTCGCATACCTAACTTTATTTGGTTATCAAAATTGCCATTATATTTATCTTTTAATTTTACATTTTGCTTTCAGCAAAGTGTGGGATGCTGTCTCAGGAGATGAATTGATGACCCTGGCTCATAAACACATTGTCAAGACTGTGGATTTTACGCAGGTATCAGAAAATAGAATTTATTTTAGGGAGTTAAATTGCTGTTATTATAGGACGTAATAATGGTTGTATATTTGATTGGTTTGTATATTTGGTGGGGGATAGAGGGTGTTTATGGCTTATATATGATTTAATTGCAGATTAAGCTGTACAAATTAATTTATTTGGTTACTCCTAAAATACCATGGAACTCTTGGATCACTTTTACATAAATAGCAACAAGCATCTAAAATGTGCAGATAATGTTTCCTTACTACTTTCAGAAGAGAGAGGACATATTTGAGATCATCAAAGATGTATTACTTAGAAGATAGGGGATCAGGGCAGGAGCAGGGCAGATGGAGAAAATTCTTGTAGTAGGTGGGTAATACATTTGAACTGTAGAACTTAAAAGGTTTGGCAGTTAGAAGAAAGATAAATGTTTTTTAGTATTCTCTCAGAAGTAATTGGCATTTATTGCACCTTTTTGTGATGTCTGCAAACTTTATTTGGATTTTAGTTGGTGTTGAAGTTTCAAAGAGATAATAGCTATTAAAATGGCTTACTCTGCTAACAGTTGGCTTGTGTGTGTTTTCAGGATAGTAATTACTTGTTAACTGGGGGACAGGATAAGCTTTTACGCATATATGATTTGAACAAGCCTGAAGCAGGTAAGTGTAATTTATATGTGTTATATTATATTTTCTTTTAATTTAAATAAGTTTTCTTGATTAAAGGAATCATGTGCATTACTCACATTTGAAATTAAAGATAGTCACAAAGAAAAATGAAAACTATCATCCATTATTAATCACTGTTAATATCTTTTAATTTTTGGTTCATAGTCTTCCAGTCTTTTTTTCTGTGCAGTTATCTTTTTCTAATGTTACTACATTGTGCTTGTATCATTTTCTTAAAAATGCAAAATTTATCTTGCTAAGTTTTTATCATTTAAGTTTAAAAAGGTGCATGACAGTGTTACTACTTTTTGGCAAGAAGGAATGGTTGTCTATAGAAGGTGAGAAGGGTGAGAATTTTAGTGTGTGCATATTTTGTTCAGATTTTTGAACCATATGAATATATTAGCTAATCAGAAGAATTTTTAAAATTTTAAAAAATTACAGTTTTTTCATGTCTTTAAATATTCTGTCAAGTGGATTAACCAGTCTCTTACTGTGGCCCGCTTGGTCCGTTTACAAATTTTAAATATAAGCGGTGTTATGCTTAACTGCCTTATAGTTGCAGATATTTCCACAATTATTTCTATAGAATGACTACATAGAAATAGAATTGTTGGGACAAAAAGGAGGTGTACTTGGAAGACATTGGTAGGTGTTACCAAAGTGTAATACCAAAGTATAAAAATAAATATCTGTACCTAACCTGTTCTGGCAAACACTGGTAACTAACTTTGTCTTTTCCAATTTAATAGGAGAAAAATGATTCTGTGATCTTAATGTGAACTTGAAAAAAATTATTCATGAGATTAAAATACTGTTGACTACTGTTTTAGTGTGTTCTTTGTGAGTAATAGTCTGTTTATGTCCTTTGCCAATTTATCTGTTGTGATGTTCATCATCTTCTTCTGGTTTTAAGATTCTTTATTATATTCTAATTTGTAGTTTGCTTTTAAATTTTGTTAGTAAGTTTTTGGTGGTGAAATTTATTACCTTTATGAATTCTATTATTGCACAGAAGTTGGAAAAGATGCCTTTTCTTTCCTGGTCCATATATTCATCTCTTTTGTGGTATCTTAATGCTTTTCTAGCCACATACCATATAATACATATTTCAGAAGCTACCAGATTATGATGAGCAGGATTTTGTCTTTTTTTATTTTGTGTTCTTACATTTTGTGTCGTGGGTATTATTTATTCATGAATCTGAACTTCAGAAGTTTGTAGGAAAGTCAAAGCTATATTGGATATTAAGCAGTTATTCTCAAGATAGGCTCTTTCCTAAAAGCATTTCTGAGATGAGCAAACAGACTACATTTGTAGATGATTCTTCATTGGCACCTGGAGCTATTTCTCTTCATTCTCTTTGATAACTTTATGCCAAAACATAACAAAGTCCTCGGACATCCATCAGTGTGTTTTTCTGACTCAGCAAAGCAGTTCAGGCCTTGGGCAGACATTTTTCATTTTTTGCCTTTCTCAGCTACTTTCTGAAAGTGGCTCTTCCACTGTGCTGGCGATGGAAATAATAGCAATTAACTGCTTTTACTGTATGTCACACTCCAGGTTAGAACCCTTCGATGTGTATTCTCATTTGATCCTCATACTCAAACTATGAGGTGTTGTAACTGTTGTCATCTCTTTTTACAGATGAAGAAATGAAAGCGTTAAGTAACCTTTGTTTCAGCAGATTAAGTAACTTGCCCAAAATCAAAGTAGTTATTGAATGGCTTTGTCTCCAGCATCTGCTTTTGCCCAAAGATAACACTGAATGGTGGTTTTTTTTTTTTTTTTAAATCCTTTGAAGGGAAAGTCTCCAACAGAGACAAGTTCCTGTTTTGTTTGTTTTAATTCTTTGCTGTCAATGTAGAAATATTCTTGAGAATTACTGCATTGCATTTTATTCTTGTTTTCTCCTCTCAGCCTCTACTTCCCTCTTTTTTCCTGTTTCTACCAATAGTGGCTTGGACAAGGGTCCCAGTGTTAGTGATAATGTTGGATTAGCTTCTTTTATTTCATTGTGCTACCATAAAGCTTTTGAGAGCAGAAACAGAGCCTGGAGGGAGTGATGTATTTACTCCCAGATACATATAGCAGCATTGTTCTTGGGTTCTTTGTCATGCAGATAAATTTTTGTTCCAGTGTAGAAAAGCATTCTGTATTCTTTGGAAACAGTAGGCTTTTATTGTGTTGAGCTTTGAAAAATTACAGTTTAAAGTGTGCTTTTCTTTTTACATATTTAGTTGTTCCAGTATTGCTCAGTTTAAAAAAAACAAATATTAACAAATGTATTTTAAATTGTTTCATTTTAAGAACCTAAGGAAATCAGCGGTCACACCTCTGGTATTAAAAAAGCTTTGTGGTGCAGTGAGGATAAACAGATTCTTTCAGCTGATGATAAAACTGTCCGGTAAGTAATTTTTCTTTAGTAATTTAAAGTTGAAAAATATTTGACCTTAGTGCTTATATTTTAAATATTTCTCATAACTGTATGTAGGAAGAATTATCTCTAAACATTGAAACTTAAGCTGCACATAGGTTTCATTTTTCAGATGCTGACCATTTACTGTTGAAAACCTGGAGCAGAATCCACAAGACAATTAAAATTACATCTTTATAAGCCTGTGCTCTTAGCCTGATTCAGTGAACAAGCTGGCTACAGAGAGGTCCATGAAATTCTCGAAATTGTATACACAATTCTGTATGCTGACACCTGATATTTTTTCCTGTGGGCATATATATAGCCATCATCAGATTCATACATTTAATATTGTATAGGAACCGCAAATTTCTCTGTGTCATCTATAATGTATGAGTTGGAATAGAGGAGATTTTATTACAACTGTGATTATTCTTCATTGCTTAATCTATAGATATAATTAGGAATTAAGCTTTTTTCTTGAATGAGTAAATACCACCATATTTTCCTCTTCCTTTTTTGCAGCCTTTGGGATCATGCTACCATGACAGAAGTGAAATCTCTAAATTTTAATATGTCTGTTAGCAGTATGGAATATATTCCTGAGGGAGAGATCTTGGTAATAACTTACGGACGATCTATTGCTTTTCATAGTGCAGTAAGGTATGTCCAAGAAATACCTTTTTTGTTTGTTTTTTTTGGTTTTTTTGTAACTTAAAAATAGGAAGGCACATGTGAAAGGTATTTAACTCTTTAACAAGGCAAATCTTGACCTGTACTATATAATATGGGGAAAATGTTTCCATATCATTAATAATGTATATTTTAAGTATTTGATATACTGAGAAATTAATCCAGTTAATTTCCAATATTTAGGGGATGTTATTGGTAAATTTAGTAACTTTAAAATTTTCTCTTTTTATATTTTTCTTAAAAGCATTCCTAGATTGGTGTTATAATTAATGTTCATCACTGTATAAAGCCACAGTGATCTTGATTCTCTTCTTAATTTTCCCTTTACAATTTCAGAGAAATAGTGACTTTTTTCTTCTATTCCGAAGTTTGTGTAGACCTAATGATGTTTTTTAAAAGCAGGTTTAATTTGTTTTGTGACTATAAATATAGTTAAATGCCTTTGTTGAAAATTTGGAAAAGATAATTCAAAAAAATTTACCCACTATTCTTCAACCATAGATGCCAGAATGTTAAAGGTAGTTGTATTTTCCTTTAGTCTTTTTTTCTTCGTTGCACATGTGTAACATTATATGTGTATATTTGTATGGGTATTTTTTTTTTTTTCAGTTACTAGGGACTTTGTAATTTTAATTTTTTTTTAAACTATCCTTAGCTATTAAAAGTTGTTTGAAAATATTTTTGCTTGGCATATTGCATTATCGGTTTTACTAAATTATGTATCAAATTCCCTGAAAAGAGCTGATGTCCAAACTCATTGATGTTCATGTGAAGCTGTTTGTATGCGTTGATTTTTATTATATAGCTATAGTTTCAGATTTGGTTATTCTTTCAAAAGTTCAATTGTAAAAACAGAATCATCTTTAGCAGTTTTATATTTTTGTGGTATTGATTGTTTTGTTGTAGAAGCTTATAAATTCTTAGCAGTTGAGAATAATGTATAAATAATGCATTATGTTACTTACTATAGAACATTTTCTCTTCTTAAAGATAATGTGTGTTTGTCATGGAAAAATCAAACAATACAGAATTAAATTTCTTAAAATGCAAAAGTCTGCATATATTAGCCAAACTGTTGTTAATTAGCCAGCACAGTCATTTCCAGGAAAGCACTCACTGCACAAAGTGTCTTTGTATTCCTGAAATGAACTCCACTTGGGCATAGTATCTTTCTGGACGTTATTTGCTAATATTATTTAGAAGGGTTTTTTTTGTTTTGTTTTGTTTTTGCTCTGTTTTTGTTTTTTAAACATCGCTATTTATGTTTGACTAGAGGAAGATACAATTATTTCTTGGGTTTCAGAAATTAGGAAGAGTTTAAAAGTAACTGATTATTTCCTGGTATTATTTATGTAGTATTCAAAATTTATAAATATTATTTAAATTATTTTCTAGTTTGGACCCAATTAAGTCCTTTGAAGCTCCTGCAACCATCAATTCTGCATCTCTTCACCCTGAGAAAGAATTTCTTGTTGCAGGTGGTGAAGACTTTAAACTTTATAAGTATGATTATAATAGTGGAGAAGAATTAGGTGAGTTCTCTTTTTCCTTCTTTAAAATGATACGGATTACATTGATCAAATGCTAGGTTTCAGTAATTAACACCTAGCAAATTTTTCAGCTAACTAAAGCTTGCTATTTCTAAGTGAAAAAAGGAGAGGATTTTTTTCCACTTTGGTGGAAGTATTTATAGAACTGTAAACAAAGTATGCCAGACCCTCAATGCCAGACCCTTGTCCTTTTAATGTAAGTTCATTGTATTCTGATAGTCTGTACAATGGTGTAGTATATTTATTGGCGATAGGAGGAGGCATTCTTAAATCAAAATCTTGTTAAACAGCTATAAGGGTATTTGTTCCTTCTGAAATGTAGTGCTGGTATGTAGCCCATCTACCTGGCTCCCCCCTTTGCCAATATAAGAATCTCTAAGCTCTGTAGAGAATAGTGTGGACATGTATGTAATAGTGGTATGTATGTAACAGCTATGGTATATTACAGGGACACCTTAGGCATCTGAATTGGAGGGGATTTTTGTTTGGATTTTTTTGGAATCTGACTTTTGTTCCGCTTTCATAATAGTCCTTCATAAAGGGAGGGGAAGTGCATGTAAGATGAATTTGAAGTTAATGTACATCTTAATTTTACATTTATCTGATTGACTAGGTATGTCATAATCATGGTTCTTGGTATCTACTTCTACCCTTCACAAAATTTGCTTTTCGAACTATTAATAATATTTAGTTTTTATAATTTCTTTTTCTGTAAGCTGCTGCTTTGTCTAGCTGTCATGCTTTACCACCCAATGAAATTTAGCTTGTTAGAATTATATACCAAAAAAACAAAAGGCAACCTTATGTTTTGTTTCTTTGGGAAACTAATGGATTTGGGTTGGAGAAGTGGAAGTTTGGTGAATGGACCATATAGAATATATTATAATTGCTTATGGTTCATCCTTTGTTGTTTGAATATGAGACTTTTAAATGAGAGATCTGTTTTATTTATTTAATGTTAGTTTTCAAAGTTTCAGAATATTTTGGCCATTTTTTTTTATCCTTTTTGAAAAAGAAATAAATTATTTGCCTGAGCTCTATGGTCACAGTGAACACTATACCAAACCTCTCATTCTTTGTACTCTCATGAAAATTTGTACTCTTGTGATAATACTCTCTTGATATGCACTGGTTGGACAGAGGTGCGGAAAGATGAAGGTCCTTGAGTTGAATGGACCTGAAAACAGAATAGAAGCAACCATTGGTCTAGTAAATAGTAAAGACTTGGAAAACTACAAAGGTGATAAGGCATTAGAAAATAGAAGAGGAAAGTTTATAAATAAAGATATGACTTAAACAGAACAACACTATGACTGATCTGTACATTTTCTCATTTGATTCTTCAGACTAAAATATTTAAGGCATTGATCTTGTATCTTTATGTTATATGTGACAGAATGACTAATAGACCCTCGATAGTCTGGTAGGAAATTAAGAGGCAGAGTGTGTAAAAGAGCTCCATCTGGTGGCTCTCTGTCATAATAAGAATTGGTTCCGTGGTAAATAGGCCTTGATTTTAGGATGTGGAAATTGGGATCGAACTGACAGACTTTAGATCTGCTTTCTGTAGAATTTACTCCCTTCCTTCACCCATTTTGGGATGTGAAACCTCTTTTTTTTTTTTTTTTTTTTTTAAAGAGGGACAGTATGACATCATAATATGTGCTGGAATTGGAAGAGGGTAATTTTACAGAGAAATGTTATGTACCACTTTGTGATAAGAATCACTTTATTTTTAATGAAGTTTAGTTCTTTGAGTTTGCACTTAAGAATTTCACATTTTCCAAATAGTACAGACAGTATTTTCCTTAGTGTATCAATCAATACTTAACCAACATTTAAGTATTAAATTATATAATAGCCCTTCTCTTTTTCAGAATCCTACAAAGGGCACTTTGGTCCTATTCACTGTGTGAGATTTAGTCCTGATGGAGAACTCTATGCCAGTGGTTCTGAGGATGGAACATTGAGACTATGGCAAACTGTGGTAGGAAAAACATACGGCCTTTGGAAATGTGTACTTCCTGGTAAGAATTTGTATTCAAAGTTATCAAGTTAAGGGGGTACCTGACTGGTTCAGTTGATGGAACATGTGACTTTTGATCTCAGGGTCCTGAGTTCAAGCCTAATGTTGGCAGAGGTTACTTAAAAAAATAAAATAAAATAAATGACAAAGTATCAAGTTAAGCGTCATAATTTTATGTCATTTTTCATCATTAATTTTATTTCTCTGTTTTTGTCCTGTATAGATTTTAATTTAGATTACGTAATAACAGTTTAAACAGAGAAGCCCATAATTATAAATTGGCTACTGTGTTACTTTGTTTGGTTAAATTTTTTTGTTGTGTTTTCTGTTCTTTGTGTGTATGTGTATTTTCTATTCCTGAATTTTTTATACTAGATCATTTGATGAATGATGTGGACCTATTTCAAAATTTGGTGGAGGACAATATAAAGAATTTCTGAGTAAATGTATTTAATCTGTGGTGTTACTCACTGATCCTTACTAATAAGGTGGACATGTTTTTAATAAAAATACTTATTGATCCCAAAGTAGTTTGGTATGAACTTAAAAGTGAACTTTGAGGAAAGACATACTCTTTTAGAATCACAGTTATTAAAAAAGAGGAGGTTCCTATTAGGTTTGGTAGCTCATTGCTTAGAATAGTGTTGGTGTACTCTTCTTACTAATTAAATACTGGAAGTTATTGATAATATCGTAATTGACGTAATCATGGTCGCTTTTCATTTCATAGAAGAAGATAGTGGTGAGCTGGCAAAGCCAAAGATCAGTTTTCCAGAGACACCAGAAGAAGAGCTAGGTAAATACCAATGAATGAACTTTTGTAGAGTCCTGGGGGGTTTAAAATTGAAGTGTTAGGGGGCACCGGGGTGGCTCAGCGGGTTAAAGCCTCTGCCTTCGGCTCAGGTCATGATCCCAGGGTCCTGGGATTGAGCCCCACATAGGGCTCTCTGCTCAGCGGGGAGCCTGCTTCCTCCTCTCTCTCTGCCTGCCTCTCTGCCTACTTGTGATCTCTGTCTGTCAAATAAATAACTAAAATCTTTAAAAAAAAAAACAAAACTGAAGTGTTAGGTGAGTTTTACTTGTTGGCGAAAGAAATTTATTAAACATGAACATACTTAAACAATGGGAAGTTTATATATGTATATTTTTATATACGTGTTTATAAAATAAATAAGTATCCACTGCATAGTAGCGATCGAGATGTAGTGTGGATCTAAGGTGGTTACCGCTACAGTACTTGGAGTCTAACTTAAGGAGGCAGTCACTGAGATAAAAAAGCAAATTTGATAAGATAAAAAAGCAGTTGTATTTGTTATTTAACATTTATTAAGCACTTAACTGTGTACCAAGTATTGTTTCCCAGATCTAGAATTACAGATTGTAAGATACATCGATCATAAAATATTGTTTGAAACTTGAATAAATAAAGGAGGGAGCCAAATCTTTAAAGATAACACTTCAGTTCAGTGCTTAATCACTGAAAGCTTAGCCCAGAAGAGGGGGCCCTGGGAAGTTATGTGTAAAAGAGTTTGATGGGTGAAATAGATGAACTATTTTTTCATTGCACTTTCAGTGGCATGAGTCTAGTCATGAATGGTATGTGCCCTTGTTCTCTCTTGCCTCCCCTTACCAGCACACTGAAAAAATCTTTTTATTCCTTCATTACACAGAAATGTGGTTAACACAGAAATTTACACAGAAATTTTCTTTATTAAGTTGACTAATGTGGTCGTCGTTGTTGTTATTTTTTCATTACAGAAGAAATTGCTTCAGAGAATTCAGATTCCATCTATAGTTCAACTCCTGAAGTGAAGGCCTGAGCATTGGGCATATGCCACAGATAATGTACAAGTTATGGACTAAAACAAACAAGCAGAGAAAAGCATCAGCCTCCCAGAGTTACTCTCTGCTTAAGGCAAACATGAGCAGTAAATAATGGGGAATATGAATTAGCTCCAGTGCTGGAACTAACTTGGTGTTACCTGTACGTGAAAAGGCAAGAGTATCAGATGAAGGCAGGTGGAACTAGGCTCTTGTGGTATGATGATGGCCTATTGTCTTTTTAATGAATATGTGCGAGCCAACATCCAATTTCTCTTATTACACTTAGAGTTCTTGTAGCTGTTTATGTTATTATGGAGAAGAAAAATATATTGGCCTATTTTTCTGACTTTTCCCTTAAAGCAGAAAGCCTTTTTTTTTTTTTTTTGCTTTAGTTGTAAAGAAGAGGGAATACGTGATAAAGTAATTGGTTTGATTTCTCTTTCATTGTACACTGCTTCTGAACATCTGATTGTTTTAGTTGTCTAAATAAAATACCTCTAAAACAAAACAATGTTTGTTTCCTGGGAAAAATACAGATTTGAGTTTATAAATGGAAATTGTCAGAAAAGTTTTTTTTTATCATAACTATATCAAAAGACAATATGGTTAAACAATCTTTAGTAAACATATTGTTTCCTAATTTTGAAATTCAGTTACTTGTACTGGATTTTTAAAATTTCCATGTTTTTCGCTGGGTTTGCACTTAAACCTTCCTCCAGCATTGGACAGAAATGCTTGACCTGCTTCTTAAAAAATTTTTCAGAGTAATGACTTATTTAAGTGACACATGCCTAGTTATAAGAAAAAAAATAAGGTGAGTCAGAATTGGCTGAAAGCAGGAAAATCACTTAAAATCACACCATCCCCCAAATCTGTTAAAATTCAGTGAGCATTAATGGCATTTTTGTGTATCTGTATGTCTGTATGCAGTTAGAAAATATTTTATAAAACTGGGATAATTGTAGCTCTGCAATGTTTATTTTACTTTATCTTTCAAGTGCAGATGGCGTTCAAAAAACCTTTTTACCAACCTTCTAATAAAGTGGGTCAACTGGGTTTAGACTTGTACTTGTTTTTTAACACATGAGGGGTATATTAAACTAGTAATGGAAATACTTTAGACCAATGAATAACGTCTCTGTCAAATTGCTTTTTGTCTCCTTATTCATCTGTGAATGACCCTTGATAACTTTCCTTAAAAGAAATAACCAAGCAAACAGTAAGTTTCCTCTGTCTTCAAAGCCAGCGGCTTAGTATCTTCAAATCTTGGACTCTCGTGACACCCTCCTTCACTTAAAAGGATATGTGTGACTACATTGGACTTACCTGGATAATTTCCCCAGTTCAAGATTCTTAATGACATCTGCAAACTTTTTTTGCCATATAAGATCACATTTGTAGGAATTAGGACATGGACAATTTTTTTGTGTCTGCGTGTGGGACATGGACATCTTTGGGAAGCCTTTAGTCTGCCTATCACACTATGTAATGGTAGAATTTTCTAGTAGAATTAACTTAAGCAAAAAGGTCAAGCACATATCTACTTAAGTTGCACTTGTCAAAGTCTCCACTGTTCTTTGTTTCTAACCCAATCCCTTTTCTGTTCTTGTTTTACTAAACCTTCAGCAGCATTTAATAGTTGTCTGCTGACTTGTTTTTAAAGATTTTATTTATTTGTGAGAGAGAGAGAGAGAGCGAGAGCACAGGCATTATTTCTCAGTTGTAGTATCATCCAGAGGTTTCGCCCAAGAAACACCAGGATTGAGTGTGGTCAGTAAATTGTCTTGAGAATTTTTCCAATCAGTAAATAAAGTTCAATGCATTCTTTTTAATGGCTATAAAATAGTAGGGTAAATATGTGCCATGATTTATAATTTAAGATGTTACATTTTTAGTAGTTCAACTTCAGTGGAATTATTAATTGAGCTGCCTTTTCTTCAAGACTAAGGGCAGAGGGGTGGGGCACATAGATGTAATTTTCTAGGAGGAGCAACAACAAAATGGGAATTGAAAATCCAGACTAGGGGAGAACATTTCTTTAGTAGCTACCTATGTTTTACATCAGGATTAATATTTTGAAACAAAAAGTGATTCCTGTTGGGTTGCCATATAAGTTAGTGTACCTGTTGACTCTTATACTAGGGGGATTCCTAAGGAAAAAAAATAACTGGAGCAAGACCATTCTCAGGTGGTTTAGCTCTTCTTTATTTACAAGAATGCACGCACAATTGCCAGTGGGTAGAGTTCCACCTAAACCAGTTGAGAATCAACAGAGTTCCTGAAGGCACAAAGGAGGCATCTAACAAATTACCTGTGGAAACAAGGCCAGAGCCTCTAAATGATAGCTAATGAACAGTAATAATACTTTACAGGTGAGTCACTTTATATAATAAGAATAGAACATCAAAATATCTCCAATAACCCAATGAAGGTAAGATATTACCCATTTTATAAACAGAAATCCTGACTTTCAGAGGTTAGGTGGCTGGTCTAATGAGTTTGGCTTCAACAAGATAGTGGGAACAGCACTTGTATGGTCTGCAGGGTTATATTGCCTGGATTTTAAACCACCCTCTGGAACTTGGACTAATTTCTCTGAGCCGTAGTTTCTTTCTGTAAAAGGAGATGGTAGGTCTCACACATAGATAATTAGTGTAAGAACTTAACTCATAGGAAGCACTTAGTATTATATATTTATTCTATCAATGATTCTCTAACTTTGGGATTTGGGGACCAATCAAAGAAAAAAAGGAATAGATCAGGGTAAGATAGAATGGTTCGCTTCTAATCTTGGCAAGTGAGGTGGTTAACATTTTTTTTTCCTACAACCACAGTCTTCATAAAAGATTTTTAAAAATCCAAGTTGGTAGTGAAAGAGCTAGTCTCAGAATAAAGAACTGTTACTTAAATGGAATAAATTTAGCTTCTATAAAAGACTCAATATAATTATTATCTTAGTTCACTGAGAGGAAGTTAGATATTCTCTAAATGTCCTTCCAGTTCTGAAGTATGTCAATTCTCACATTCACACTTTTGCCTAGTTCTACACCTTCCCTCTTTTGACTTAGAAAAACTGGTTATAATCCGTAGTCCAAGTCAGTATTTACCTAAGGAATCTGTGCATGCATTTAGAAATCATGGGCAAATGGAATTGGACTAGGTAAAACTTACCACTGTAAGAAAAATAGCCCCGCTAGAAATATGTAGTCGTTCATCTAACAAATATACACCTGTGACTACTATGGGGCAATGACTCCACCAGACTCTAGGCCTATCAAGAGCCAAACACAAAGGGTCCATGCCCTTTGGAAGTTAACAGTTGAATTACTCCTAACTCCCAGGTCTTGCAGTTTCTTGAGGCTTCAAGATAAATGTGATATATTCTTAGAGCTTTAATTTTAACTGAAGGAATGGGGATGGGAAGGCAAGTAATCTATCTGGCAATTTAAAAGTTATATTAAAAAAAAAGTAAGAAAATTTGCATGGATTAGAAAAATAATACTTAGTACTTGAATGGATTTTACTCATGTAAGAACCAGTTTTGGCCCTAACTCCAGACTGGCATGCATAGTTTACTCTTCTCTGCCCCTAGATTGATGATTCCTTACAATTAGGTTACATTAACATCATGTGAAGGAACTCGTTGAAAATATGGATTCCAGGATCCTAGAGATTCCTATTCAGGAGGGCCGTGGTAAGCCTAGAAACTGCATTAGTCTTGGGAGAAAAACTCTTGGGAGGTTCCAGTGTAGCCGTGGTAGTCTACAGATCATACTTTGAGAAGCCTTGCCTTAGGGATACTTCAAAAGTTTCAGAACGCAGTAAGTTTAAAAGGGAAGTTCACAAAATGAAAGTTGCCCTCCTCCATTAAGTTTTTTTCCATGGGGTTCGTGGCTGGCTCAGTTGGTAGAGCACGTGACACTTCATCTCAGGGTTGTGAGGTCAAGCCTCATGTTGGGCAGAGCTTACTTGGAACAAATAAGTCAAACAACAACAATAAAAAAACCCTCACCGTTTGCATTCTATCCCTACTATCCTGAATCCTGACGATTTAACTTATTTTCAAACTACAGAGATTAATTACAGATTAGTATTAGCAACAGGTCAATTTTAGAAAAAGTCCTTGAGAGATTTTTGTCAGATACGTTGCTAATATGTCAGCTGTATGAGGCTACCCCAATTCTGGTGTTTGAACTAAGTTAGGATTTCACCACTTTTATTTGTTTTAGTAAGTTTACATTATATGTGGATATATAAGAAATGGCTTATAATTTGGCTTAGAGTTGTATCTGGCCCTAAAAGCAAAATTTACTGTCTTTGTATCCTTTAGGGACGTCAGTGCTTTCTAGCTGAAGACCACAGGAACCATCCTATAGTTGCATACATTGGGTTTATTTGATTTATTGGATTTATTGGGACACGGAAAAACACCATGTGGAAATGTGAGGTATCTCAGTAAGACAGTGTTTGAAATGACAGGATTTGAGCTCGTGTTACATGATCTGGAGAAGGTTCAAGGAAGCAGAACATTACTCTGGATTGGATGCTGGCAGGAAGTGATAATTCCCTGACAGGGCATCTTAATTCTGACTTAAAATACAAGAATTATAGGGTTATGTTCAAGCTGATGGATAAAGAAGTGACAGTTACTTACATTAGCCAGGATAGGAACCGTTTTTGTCATTTTTGTGGTTTGGACAGGTTCATGTTTTTTTTGGAGTACGCGTGGTCTTATTTTTGTTGATCGATCATGGTTACAGTGACCTTGGATGATGTTGATATTCTGTGAAGTTGTTGATGTTCCACTTGGGAGCACCGTGGTCTAGCTGCAAGGGCTCCAGTTTGCCAAGGTCTGTTTTTCACTTTTTCCAGGTTAAAATAAAAATAAAGGAAAAATGCTATTATAAGAATGAGTAGAATCTAGACACATTCAGAATACTGAGCAACAGCTGTGTCTTGAGAAAGCAGAGAGGCAACTCGGTGTAGGGGAGTAAGACTGGGATTACTTTTCCTATTTAGCCCCATAGTAGTTGTGTGAACCTGACAATGACAGTAACAGCTTCCATTTGTTGAGCATCTGCTACATGTAATAATGTTTCTTAGGGGCTTTACACACATTCAACAGCTTTGCAAGGCATATGGATTTTGATCTACCTATTTTACAGACAAGTAGTAACATTCCTAGAATCACCTATTTATTAAGTGGAATTGCTGGTACATTAAGGGATTTGAGCCTTTTGGAACCTACTCAGTTTCCACTATATCAGGATGCCTCTTTATTCAGAACCTTGGTGTCTGCAGGTGTAGCAATAGAGACATAATGCGTACTTGGCAGGATTGTTCCGAGACTCAAATGCTATCATGTATCTAAAAACACCAAGCACAGTGACTGGCTCGTGGTGGACAAGCCACAACCAAGTTTTCCTTCTCCCAGCAAAGTGGAGGTGCCTCTGATTATGAGTAGAGATGAGTCGACTAGTAGTCTATGTTGAGTGACTCTAGACAATTTTAACCTTCTGGTTACAGAAAAGTTAGGCTGAAAAAAATGTGAGTATCACAGATTGGGAAGTTAGAGCTCCAAGAAATTGTCAAGGTCATTTCTTAGAGATTAGGAAAGTGAAGCTTAGAAAGGAAATTGATGTGCCCAGTGTCCCACTTAATTACTATCAGTGCTATGCTGAGAAACCTGACTTCTCGCGCTTGGGTGTCTCCGCCCCGCCCCGCCCCCCCGCTGCCAGGCAACAGAACTGCTGCTCCTGTCTAGGTTGGAAGTCAGAGTGTGCTCTCGGCCCCTGCTCGCTGGCCGCCCTTACACTGCTGCCCTTCACGTATGGGGCTGCAGAGCTCTGCTCTTGGACAGTAACTGGGAGGGATCCTCTCCCCTCTCGTTATTTAATCTCACACTATAAAGTTTCTAAACGTATTCAGTGCATTTGGCACCTCAAACATTTTAAAACGGGTTTTGGTAGCATTATTTCGGGAGCCAGTGCTCGAGTCCCACAGCTGGGGGCAGAGGGCAGGAGAGAGGCGGCAGGACCACCCCGCAGGGCCGCGGACCGAGGTCGCACCCGGAGACCGAGGTCGGACGTGGGGACCGAGGTCCACGGCCCTGCCCCCCTGAGGCAGCGGGGCGGGGCGAGCGCAACGACGCCGAGAGGCGGGCGGGAAGCAGGAAGGGCTGGGCGCAGGGTTGCTGGGCGGAGAGGAGCCGGCGACTGCTGCAGCGGCCCGCACCATGTCCGCGCGCAACCGGGGCACGGAGCTGGGTAAGGGCCCCGCGGGTCGTCCCCGCCCGTCTCCCTCGCCTCCCGCCGCCGTCCTCCGGTCGCGGGGCTCGCCGCCGCCCGGTGCCCTGGGGTCCGCTACCGGGGGTGCTCGCCCTGGCGGGAAGCGGCGGCGCCGGGTCGGTCCGCCCCCACCCCGAGCAAAGGCCGATTCGACTTCTCATTTTCCAGCTTAAGTCGTTCACCTTCTAGCTCCCTGGTTGCAAAGAACAAACTCCAAAAACAAAACCCCAAAACCCTCGAACCCCAAAACAAACAAAAACCCCCAACCCAAATAAAACAAGATAAAAACCTTCTTTACCCGCTCAGTGGAACCCCTGTGCGATTTAATGCTGGATTTCCGTAGATAATTTTACCACAGCCGTACCCCTAAAACGTCCGTGCTGATGGAAAAGTTATCAGATCGCTGTGCTGTATAACTCACTGTAAATTGTGTATGATTTTAGAAGTACAGAGATTTGTGAAAGCGCCTGAATTATTTCATCATTTTTCATTTTACTGATATTATCAAATATGACTGGCAAGAAAAATTTAGCTCTGATTTCCTAAAATGTAAAAACTTTGTAATTCAAACATGAGACATAATCAGAGCCAAAGGTTAAGGCTCTCAGTTTAAGTATTACAGCTGGGATATCTGTATCCTGGATCTTCATTTTAGCTGTGTGACTTTGGGCAAATTACTTGATCACTCTGTGCTTAAATTTCTTAACCTGTAAAATGGTTGTACTTCTAAGGGCGATTTGGAGATCAAATGAGAGGATTTAAAGTGTTTGGTACTTTGTGGGTAACTAGGAAGAGTTAATTAATAATAGTATGGTATAGAATTCTGGTTTTAGGCCTGATTTTCAGAAAATTAGTTATGATTCTATATAATACATACAAGGCACTTTTTTTCCCTTTGAAAGTGACTATCCTGATGAAATCGTCTACACTTCAAGAGGTAGTCCAGAACTTTTGTTAAATGGTGACCATGTGTCTTTATGAATACACTTGATTTCTTCACCAAATTGATTCTCCTTTAGTCATTGCCCTTTAGCAGATTATGTTTTAAATTCTAGTTGTATCCCTGAAATGTGGACTTTGGTAATAAATGAGTGTTCCCTAGATTAGGAGGTCCAGAAAGATAGTGAATGGGGTACAGGAATTGAGTGTAGGTCTTACCTTGGTATTTTCAGGGATATGGCTCTCTAACTTCGTACAGATTGAGGACATTCCACTCTTTTTCCAAAACTTAGACATTTGTTTATTGTTTTTCAAGAAATACATTTGAAGCCATTTTTACTTTATTTGTAAATTTTTTATTATTTATTTATTAAAAAGATTTTATTTATTTATTTGACAGAGATCGCAAGTAGGCAGAGAGGCAGGCAGAGAGAGAGAAGGAAGCAGGCTCCCCGCTGAGCAGAGACCCCCCCCCCCCCC